CTCTTTCCTGTAAGTAGCAAGATAAATCTTAGTTCTAGAACATATTGTGTATAAGTAAATTTTTTTTAACTTTCATACCCAAGTAATGGGTGAAACCTTAAATGTGTGAAAAATCCTTAGTACTTTGTCAGTTTTGACTTGCCCATTGACTCCCATGACTGTTATTTGCCTCTCCTTTTGCCTCTACATTCGACCTGCTCCACACATCTGTTATGTTCTCTCTTTATCTTGATTCATGGGGCAGGGATTATGTTTCACAGTGTTTGCAAAATATCCACACAATGGATTCTGATTGCCAGGAGAACCTCTGGACTCCTGAATAAAAACAATGGATACTTGTACCCTTTTGAAATGGGATCTTAGATATGTAGAAGCTATGAACTAGTATTTGAATTTAGGAAAGGAAGATAAAAGTAAAAATACTTAGATAAATATCTCTTAAACTTGCAGCTGATGGATACTTACAAAGAATGTAGCTGGAATGATAGTTTATATATCCAGGAGGGCACGTGGAAGCTTAAGATGTAGGAGTTCATTAAAAAATGACAGAATTTCCTGCCTTATTATATTTATGATTCTGTAAAGGTATCTGCTGCCTTTCTCATTTCTACATGGTACACAGTATGACGTACAACTTCAGGCTGGACATAAGGAAGAATTTCTTTACTGTCCGAGCCCCCAAGGTCTGGAACAGCCTGCCACCGGCGGTGGTTCAAGCGCCTTCATTGAACACCTTCAAGGTGAAACTGGATGCTTATCTTGCTGGGATCCTATGACCCCAGCTGACTTCCTGCCCTTTGGGCGGGGGGCTGGACTCGATGATCTTCCGAGGTCTCTTCCAGCCCTGATGTCTATGAAATCTATGAGATTTAATAGCTAATTGCTGCCATCCTACAGTTTTCCTAAGTAGTTGCATGGAGTTACTGAGATTTTGATAAACTTGATGAGAGATGATAATTTGGCATGCTGTGGCTGCATTTACACGAGATGCTTACTGCGCAGTACTTTGTTACTACTGTGCAGTAGTGTCACAGGGCACGATCTGTAATACGATGCTACTGTGCAGTAATAATGAGCTACTGTGCAGTAAGCATCACCAGGCAACCGTGTGCACCAGTTACTGCACAGTCATTTAGTACTTGGTTATGCAAGTGTAGATGTGCACATCTCATGTAGATGTGCACTGTAACATCTAACTTGGTGACTGCCCTCAAGTGGAATCTAAAGCTCAAAGTTAGGTGCATACAGTGCACAGTGAAAGTTTAGTGCTTTGGCAGGGCAATCCAAAATGTCCACACAGTGACTGGGGAGTTATCTAAGAGTTGGCCAATAGGAAACATTGGACACAGGAGCTTATTTGGACTCCCATACTTCTCTGAAGTTTAAGTGTCTCTGCACTCCAGGTTCAGAGCTTGGAGTCCTCTCTGGAGGTAGGTACCCACAGTTGTTCTTGGAACAAACTGAGCCGGGGTCACTCTTAAAAATGAGGAGCTTGAGACTCTGGTAGTTTTGCATGTTTATCTATAATAACCTTGTGATTAGTGTGCTGGTCCAGGAAGTAGGAAATATGGAATCAATGCTCACCTTGGCCAGAGGGCATTCAGAACCACATTTCCTACCTCCCAGAAGTGTGCCCTCAGATCATAGAATTGACTGGGTGAGGGCACCTCCTCTACTGAGCTTGTTGAAGCTGAGCCACGATGTGAAAAGGAGTGCATAATTTATGAGGGTAGAAGGAGAGGAATCAAGAGAGAGCATGACTGTGTAGGCCAGTAATGAGAGGAGGGATCCTTTCTTTTGTATTATCCTATGAATGTTCAGTGTAAAATTGAATTGAACTGATGTTGCATAAAGTTCTGAGTACATAATTGGAATGTAAGAAAATTTATTTGCAAAGTGGCATAATATAGAATTGCATTACTCTCTGTATTAGGGACACTTTTTGTTCTTGTATGACAGATTTTAGCACATGATTAGTACTGTTATAATACACCTAAATAATGCAAATAATTTTACACAGAGTACAGACTGTAAACCAGTGCCTTTGAAAACAGGAGAAGATGAAGAATACATGTTGGCCTTAAAGCAAGAACTTCGAGGGACTATGAAAAAAATGCCTTACTTCATGCCAGTAGAAGAGGAACATGAAGGTTTGTGGTGAATCTGTTTTTATCTATAAACAGCAAAATGTGGTATTTGTGTAGGATAATATAATAATGTTTTGCAATTCATATAGTCAAACTGGAGTTATTATTTTGACTAATTAAAGGGACAATGTCAACTTAATCATGTTTTACTCTGAAATTTTTGCCTATGCTAGAGTTAAATGCTTGTGTAAAGAGACCATGGAATCTGTCTTACCATCAAGATATTTTAAAATTAAATTGTAAGAACAATGGAACACAGGACTAATTGGGATCACTTGGACCTTATAGTCTAGTCCCCTCCAATCACAGACAACCAGTGCAGTTTTGTTGGTGTCCAATTCAGAGTTCTTGAAATCTAGTACATAAGGTTTTCAATAGTTTGTTGAACATCTTCAATTAAACATCTAAAATTAAAGTTTCCAAACTTTGTTGGAAAATTGTATTGGGGGGTGGGGGGAGAAACTTCCCCTTTTGTTTCCCTGTTACACTGCAGTAGTATCCAGAATCTGTCAACTGCATTTGGTTCTCAGTCATTAGTCAAAGAGGGTTTCTTGCTCATTGTTACTTTTTGCCTATTTTCATCATCTTCCTGTGATCTTACCAGATACAATACTTGATGTTCTTTGTGGACTTACAGGAATATAGGAATTGCCATACTGGATCAGAACCAAAATCTGAATAGTCCATCATCCCGTCTCTGATAATAGCCAGTGCTGGATGTGATAGAGAAACGTATACGAAGGTAGATGTAAGATAATTTACTACCTCATCCTCATCATTAGTGATGACTGAGCCCTGAAACATGAGGTTTAGCATCTCCTCCAAAATTTTCATCATAACTGTATTTACCCAAATCCAAGGTAACTTAGAATTTAAGATGACCCTCCCCCTCCAATAATTAGGTTCTAGACATGAAAAATCTATAAACTTGTTGTAATTTTCCATGCCCAGATTTTAATTATTGGAGGGTCATCTAAAATTTGTCCCCTTGACTGTTGTGTAAGGGGGGAAGCAGCAGAGAAGGCAGTCGGCCCGGGGTGGGGGAAACGGGTAGGGGGCAAGGTAGGGAGAAAGTAGAGGCAGGGGGGCAGCTGGGGGAAAATGGGTAGGGAGAAGGTAGGGGAGGAAGGTGGAAGCAGGGGGAGCAGGCAGTCTTCCCCCTACCCCTTGGCATCCCTGGTGTCTTCCCCCCAAACACTCTCCTATCCCTTTCCTCCTCACCACTTGCCTCCCTGCGTACCTCCCCCTTCCACTGCTATCATAGCTGATCTGGTTGCAGGGTGTGCTCCAGAGCCCTTCCTTCCCCACATTGCAGTGAGCTTACAGCTGACACATTCCTTGTTCCCTGCCCATCTCCTCTCCATCCCCCACCTTCCCTCCCCTATCTCCTCTCCTGGTTCGAAGGAGGAATCTGGACTCTGCAAATCTGGGCTTCCAGCGTAGCTGTGGGCTCTCTA